GTTGTAGGTCTATCCAATTGAGTGCAGAGGCATTTTTTTTCCTGGTTCGTTCGAAACACGCCCCATAATCACAGCTCTATGGAGCAGGATCAGACTCATATTCTGACTAGAATTGAGTCGGACTACGTCAGGCTAGTGGTCGCCCAGCGTAACTCCATCCTTTGACGTTTGTCTTCTTTTTAATTTGTGTATCCGTCTGGGCGATATGGCTTAAAAATCTCTAACTGATTCTGACTATATAGGTAGATAATTTCTTTTAAAAACTAGCTTTTTTTTCCAACCACCCTCCTAGAAGGTGCCCTTAATTCAGATATGCCAAAAGTCAGTGCTTGAGGGCCACTATCCTGCAGGTTTTAGAGGTTTCTCTGCTTCAGCACAGATTACAGTTCACCAAAAGTCTGTTAATCAGCTCTCAATGAAAATCAGCTGTCCTGAAGCAGGGAAACCTCTAAAACCTGCAGGAGAGCGGCCCTCAAAGACCGACTTTGGGCAAGCCTGCGGCTAAATTTAAAGGGCAACAGAATTCGAGTTGTGAAACATGATGTAAAATAATCTTGTTTCAAAACAAATAACAAAAAAATGAAAAAAAAATAGAAAAAAATATACATATGTCTGAAACTAGTGGTATCACACAGAGAGCTAATTTATCAGTTATAAGTACACATCTAAGAAGGAAGGGTTGATTATTAAAAAAAAAAAAAAAAGATCCTGATTTTCCAAAAATGAAATCTTCATAAACAAAAAAAAATGTACTAACTGATTTTATCAATGAATACACCCAGCCCCAGTACAGAGTGATATATGATCCTAATATATTATTCATATTAGCAATACAATTATTTCAGTAAATGGTGTGAAAGTGTGGAACAAACGCAAAGTTAAATTAAAGCAATATTCAAGTATGAGAACGTCTGGGAAAAGACTTAAACTGGTTTTCTTAAAAAGATACGAGATGGAAGAAGTGCAGTGAATATCAGTGGATATTCTTAGTCGCTGTGGATGGGTGTATAAATGTTTCTACAATGATTGTGTGAATGAGTATATGTTTTTATGTACATAAACTAACTAATTTGCACACTAAATTAATTCTGAGTAGCATGGACTCAGAAGTTATGTAGGATTTGATTGTTGAGGTTAAGGGAAATAGGAAGGTAGACTGATTATGATTAAATAAGTTTCACTTCATACCACTAAGCACTAAATTAAACATATCATTATATATTTCTCTAAGTATTCATAATATTTGCATGTGTTAAATTTGCATTTTTTGGTTTAATAAATTGTCTGAAATAAAGTCATTCATTGAAATAATTTGGCTTAATTTGTCTATATAATTTGACTTGCATCAATCTAACATTTTAATATTTTCAAAATGTAATAAAAAACAACAACATTTATTTACATGACTTACCGTAGGAGTATAACGCCAAGCCACTATAAAGCATAGTTATGTTCCATGATAACCCAATGAGAATAAAAGCTGGAATCAGCATCATTATTGCCTAAAAAAAAGATTAATTTCAGTATATTTTATTGTCCTTTAGGCTTATTTTGCGTCTTTCCAACAGACTGTATCTTTACCGTGCGAACAGCTCGTATGTGTTGGCCAGGTTTGATTCTTCGAGCGTAACCACCCTGGATTAAAGCCATGATGACACCAATGAAGAAGAACATCTTTCCCTGCTGCATGCTGTTGAAAGAACAACAAAGACACATTTTGAGTTGTTGCCAAAGTATTTCCACAAGGAATGATGCAATATTCAGCCTTATCTTTAAGCTCATACCTTGTAAACTGGAAGCGCTGGTGAGTCAGAAAACTCAGTGTGAACTCTAGACCAGAGAACAGGAAGAGGTAGCAGAAATAAACCAGTCCCAACACTTGGAGCTTCTGCATTCCTGTAAGAAACACTCCCAGTGTTAGTGCATTTATGGTCTAATTAAAAGGTATAATGGTGTAATACCAGCACTCACTTTCTTTTGAAGGTGGTTCCTTCGTCTTGGTGACGGCGGTGAAATGGAACAAGGAGAGTGGACTGAGAAGATCCCAGGACTCCCCACAGCCAGATAGTGAAGCCTGGAGCAAAACAGGAATAATTTTTTACATTTGTGATCTAAATATTCTCTAAAGAGCTTGTGTGTTGTTCTCAGAATAGCATCTAAAGAATCTGATTCCAGCATGACCCGCTCCTCGTCTCCGTACCTTAAAGGGTTTATTTTCGCTAAACATCTTGACTCTCTATTTCTTTCTAATTTTCCATCAACATGAAAACATTTCCATGTTTTAGACAAAATACTTTTCCTCATATTCATCAGTTATGAACAGTTTAAAACAGCTCTATCCACCATCTTCTGCCTAGCCAAAAGAATGGTGTTAACTCAGCGGTTCACATCTGGGATTTTGTTCTTTAGTTCTAAACCCCATATCTCCTGACTACGCATGAAGGTTAGCAGATCTTTCAGAGTAGGTTCCTCTTTACGAAAAACAGAGCAACCGCATCCTTAGTCCATACAGTACGAGGCAACTCCCCCTCTAGCTACCAACAAAGATGCAAGTCTTAAAATAACTTAAAATATAAGATGTAACACAGAGGTAGGTGGAAAAAATAAAGACATAAGCAGAACAGGGATATTCCAGGAGCACAAGTATCTACATATTAAGATGCGCGTGGAAAACCATTAAAAAATGCTGGAGCTCACTGTAGTGTAAGCCTGGTGAGTTGGTTCAGCATAGAAAGCTGACAGAACTTCTTGCAGAAACTTCCACCATGAAAGCCCAGGTTTTGGTGATGTTGAGCAACAATCTCGCACCAACAGATTATTGCAAGGGCTTAGATAGGAGGGAGCAAGACTGATAAGGTTCTTCACTGAGATCACAAGTTTACAATCTACCCATATGTGTGCATGTTGGGGGGATTAACTGTATTTGGAAGAAGTTTCCTGAAGAGGACAACATGTGAAGCCTTTCTGTCCGATGGTTTTCAAACCAGTCTGTGGAAGAGAATATAGGCCGCTGATTAGGGGTTCACTTATTAAAGTACGGTAGTTGTGACCGATGCCGTTTGGCTCTTCTATAATAACGATAACAAATTACCTTATTATAATTTGTTTTATTGTTGAGGAAAATTAAAGGACAGCCTACTCTTAAATGGCTAAGGCTCCACGCTAACTTCAGCATCGGGTAGTGATCTAGTCTCTGACATTAGGCGGAGAAAAGTTTCCTTCAGTTGTTCCGCTTGGGCTGAGAGATGTTTCAGCAGTTGTTTTCTATCTACAATCTGTTTGTTTGAGTCATGTAATAAAGTTATTGGTTTTGTTTAGCTTTACTTTTTCAAAGACTGGGGTGGACTCAGGTTTCAGCTCCGGAAAACCTATAACGGAGTGTTAGAGTTAATTCCTTCCACTATCATCTCTTCTGATGCACAGCCTCTGCAACCGTCAAATCTGTCTCTATCTTAAAAAAATCAGATGGCCGCAAACCCGCGCAGACCTCAAGCGGAAGTGCGAAGACAAAAAGTAGCTGTGATTGGTCCTTGGTTTGCCTTTCTGGCTGTCTGTGTGGTCGTCCTTCTGAATTCGGTGCTGGGGCGCGCCATTTTTAAAAACCGAGGAACAATGGACAACTACAACGAAACTACAAGGAGGTTCGGAAGTATAACCACTTGTATGATCTTCCAAGTAATTTCACGCCAAGTAATTTCCCTCTGGGATTATTAAAGTATGTCTGATTCTGATTCATTGTTGTTTTTATAGATAAACACTCCCGCCGGCGCCGCTGAAGTTCTCGTGACCATCCGCCGAAGTTCTCATGAGTTCTCCAACGGTGCAGAAGCATACTAACAAAATGCCCTTTATGACCATGCAGGTGGTCAAAACATTGCGCCTGTTAAACCAGGCCAATAACAACCTGAACAACTCCCCATTCCAGAGGCATGGGCCAGTTTCAGGTTAATTTGAAGGCCAACAATGACCTTAACGACTCTCCATTACTAAGAGGTGGACCAGTTTTATAAGCCATAACAAGGCTTTTGTTGGGTTGTTCTATAAAGGTTGGAACTCAAATACTAATCCAGACACTTTTCGATTTTAGAAGCTTCCGGTATGGGAAGCGAAACGTCTTCAAACTTGGAAAACGAAGTCCATTGGTTTGTTTGTAACTTTTTTTGGAACGACTATGACCCGGATGAGTGAGAATCTACACCAGCAGTTTTCAAAGATGGTCTTTCATGTTCCGCAGCCACCAAATAACACAGGGCATGGTCACCTTGTTCATGTTGGATTCACTGACAACGAGCTAATCAGGATCTGCTGCAGAAAAGCATCGACAAACCATGATGTTTCCTCAAACACTCCATACAGTAATATGGGCTTCTTTTCCTGGAGTATTATACTTTGTTTAAGCCAAACATCTCCTCTGCTCTGATGTCCAAAGGATCCAATATCAAATCTATCTACTATCGTCTCTTTCTGGCAAACCTAAGTGTGGTCTTCATATTTTATTTTAGAGAGAAAATGTTCTGCATGCACATCATCCATCAAGGTTAGTGTATATATTCTCTTCTTTAAGGTTAAGGCCAAAAGTCACAATTTAGGTGTTTTTTTTAAACGTCTTTGCTTGCAGTGTTTAGTTGAACTTGCTTAGAGAGACAGGCCTGGGCGTGTCTGTTTTCATTTTGAATTCCCTCTGCTTACACACCGTTTTCCTAATAGGGTCCATTTTAAAAATTACTCTTTAAATCCCTTTCCAAAGTTGATACCCCTCTAGGATCGGGGTTTAGGATGGGTAACAATGTTCATGTAGCCAATTTAAAACACCTCTTTTATTGTCCGTATATATGATTAATCAGTATAAATAGATTTTTAACAAAAAGTAAAAATCTGTTTGTCCTAAGTGTTTGGTTACACTAAATAAATGTTTTAGCTTTGTTTGAAAATCCATGGATCTAAATATGTCTGTTAAGCATTTATCCGACACCCTGCTGCTCAGCTTGGGATTCTTTGTTTCTGTGCTTGCTAAGCTTCACATGGGCCTAAGAAACAGCATGTTAAAATACAGAGGCAATACCCTGGCTTTGAATTTCCGTTTTAGGTTTTCCAGTTGTTGCCTGTTGCTCGGTTTACCATACAGACATGATGTTGGTATTAGGGTCATCACGATACTAAACTTTTCAACGTGATACCGATACTAAGGAAAATATTCGATACTCGATACCATTTTCGATACCACAAGAATAAAAACTCCAAATTTCAACAGAAATATTTTGATTAATAATTAAAATACAATAAATAAATACAATAAACAATAAGAACAATATTTTGAGGTTGTATGCTGTGCACAATATTAAGCAAGCTTGATAAAAAACGTACTAAATTAAAAATAAGTTTTCCTTCCTTTGCTATGCTTTGCACACATAGCAATGACACTAGCCAAACCGGTTAAGAAACAAAAATAATTCTCAGTAGCTGCACCTGTTACAAAAAACAATCTGAAACTGAAAAATGCACAGAATTATTCAATCACACACTGTTCAAAAAGTGCATTGTCCTCTATTCTGCACTTTAGATGAATGACTGTTTAGGTGCCACTGGTGGTAGCACTGTATCGATACTTTTGAAAATGAGTATTGTATCCGGATACAACGTTTCAGTATCGATACTTTTTTGAGTATCGATACTTTTGAACAACCCTAGTTGGTATCTACTTTTTATCTACTTCTGAGGAACAAGAAAATAAGCTAAAGCAGTAACATTTTTCCACAATTAATGACAATATTAATGCCCTGCTGTAATACAAAACAATTAAAATTTCTCTTTGGGAGCATTTTCATTTAGATACTTAACTAAAATAATGTAGTTTTTATACAATGTTTGGATTCTAAATACACTATTTACGGCACAGTTTTTTTTTTTATAATGCCCCAAAGGAACAGATGTTAAGGCTGGCTCATGGTATAAATGTCTCCTGTTAGAAAACATCCAACCAATCATGTACTGCAAGTACATGAATAAAGGAAGTATTTCCGAAAGGTAATATTCCATAAACACGGTGACACCCTCGTCTTTGTCCACGTAACACATGTTTCTCCCATATTTATGCCTTTGAATCTCACCTTAGTGCCCTTTGGTAGAGTTTCTGGCAACATCAGCCAAATAAAGACAAGATCAGCAACACTGAAGGCCAAGGCAAGTAGAGCTGGAGTTTCATAGAAGACGTTTTCTGTTGTTTTGGAGCTGACAGCAAAGTAAGCACCCATAAGAGGTCCAACGGTGAAGCCCAAGGAAAAGGCAACACCAATCATTGCCTGGTGAGACATAAGGAAACAGAACCCCAAACCGCACACCAACTTTCAGAAAATGTAATAAGACAGTAGCTTTGTAATAGCAATGCATTATCAATAATTTTACTCTTTATCGTCACAGAGGTCTGTTCTTACCATTCCTTTGTTCCGGGCTTTTGGGCATGGCAGGTCTGCGATGATGGCTGTGCAGAGGCTGACGTTCCCCTTACAAATTCCCCCAATTACCCGAAACAAAAGGAACATGCTGAAGCTCCGGGAAGCAGCCCAGACCGCGTAGGAGGAAATCAGCCCTAACTGAAAAACAAGGCAAGCAATGAGATCCAAACTGATCAGCCCTGGTGGAAAAAGGCTCATAAACCTCATCACGGGTAACAAGAAATATTTATGGTGTTATAATTTGCTCTCACTGTGGTAAAGATGAGGAGAGGTCGTCTGCCATGATGATCAGACAAAGCTCCCGTTAAAGGTGAGGACAAGAACTGCAGCAGAGAAAACAGCGACCCAATCAGACCTGAAAGACATAAGATAGGGCAATAAACGGGAGTCAGTCCTCCATCTTGTTTTAGTTAAAATCTCCTGGTTTATAACAATGGATTGGAACAACGTACCTCCAAACAGAACAGTGTTGTATTTCTTTTCCATAGGAATACCAACAGCCTCCCTAAACCAGTCGACCACACTCTGCAGGGACTGATATGTGACATCCTGTCCCAGAAAGCAAACACAAAAACATCACATAGAGGCCACCTAGAAAAGAGGCCACTTCAGAGTGAGTCAGCACTTAGACCTCCCAAACTAATCCAACCACTCACATGCTGGTTATGGTTTTTAATGGAAGAGTCCTCACACAGAGCAACCTTTTGTTCAAAGCAGGACTCAAGTCTGAGCACATGTACTCTAAATCAAATTTTCTTTACTTTAAAAACAAAATTGTTGCATTTTAAAGTCTTTAAAAGGTTCCAGAAGATTCTACTCACCCCTGCTTCAGCATAATGATCCAGAATAGAAGGCAGCAGCGGCAGAATCAGGGTGAAGCCCAGCAGGTCCAGCAGCAGGGTGATGAACACAACGCCAATGACCTTTGACGAGAAGGAGTTCCCATCTTCAGCAGATTTGTTCATAGCTGACATTCCTGATGTGAATATTCCCACTGTTCATAAAAGAGAAACATGAAATAAATGTATATATTTCATTTTTATATATATCTATCAACACTAGTGAATAATTATGAAGTAGAAGGAAAATAAAGACTTTCATTATTATTATTTGACAAGTAGAAAACTTAATAAAATCACTGTTTTCATAAATAATCTTTCAGAAAATAAACTCAGATTGCACCTGTGTGTATTTTAATCTCATGACTTTTAGGCCAAATGAAAACCTTTGCAAACAGTGCGACAAAGACCAACTGACACATCAGGCAGATCACAGACCAACACCACAAATGATCTTGAACACACCATCCCTGTATACTCATGAATTAAGAGTGGTCGATCAATCAAAGTCTAAACCTGCATCCAATTTTCAGCAAATTTTCATCAAACCCTCCTCATCTTTCTTTGTTTCTGTGTTTTCAGATAAAGAATAGGAAAAATCTTCAGTGTCAACCTCAGCAGACATGCCCAAGAGACTGAGCTAAAATTGCAGCAAACAGTGGTTCTACAGGGTCATGAAATACAAATGCATGCCACACTTTCTAGATTTTATTTGAAAAAAATGTTGTACATCTTACAACAATGTAATATTTCTTTATTTCTCTTGTTACAAATAATTCCGATAAAATATAATGAAGTTTGTGGATGGAATAAAATGTCAAGAGGTTCAAGGGATAAGAAAAAAACTTTTGCAAAACAATGCATGTATGCAATCTACTTAGAATGCAGGTTGAATAAAATTGTTTCATTAGTTGGATCGCTAAAAAAGGAACCCAGCTTCAAAGAAAAAAACAACCTCTTTCACTTTGATATTAAAGACATCAAAACACGTTTATTGTAAAATGACAGAAGGTAAGTTCTATTTCTTTAAGTATTATCCCTTCAAAGTTACATTGATGCATCCATGAAGCCTTTATAGAATGATCATTGACAGTATATGCTGCTGTAATGATGTATTGTGAAAATAAATAAAGTTTATGTAGAAATGCTATGTAGACAGCTGCATATCAAACCCAAAGGTGAACGGGATTAGTAAAGTTTGTTTGGGTAAGTCATTATTCCAGTAAGTCACCAGGAAAGAAGCAGAGAATCAAGGAAGAAGGAAACATTTCCTGTTCCTGCTGTAAAACTGGCCGTGATCCAAATAGAATCACTATTTCAGACTATATTCTATGGCAAATAAGAACATTTCACTAACTTAATGCTTGTTGCAGAGTAAAGAATCAGCCAGAAGAGGCCAATCAGTGGATCTCTATCAGCATCACCTCCTTCCTGACAGTTTGGAGCTACAGGATAACAAACGCCCACTTTACCTCTTGTGTCTTCTTCTGCTGGTGGATCAGGGCAGTTGATCAGGCTCACAGTCGGTAAGGTTTACCTTCTTCGCCTCATCCGTCCACCACTGTGTGTCCATACCAGGAACTGGAGTCCTTTTTCACTCGGATGTCAAGAACGTGTCGTAACAAGCACTACGCCCGCGCTGCGTTCAAGGCACCCTACTAGGCTCGTGAATCTGCGTTTCTACGAATTGTTTGTATTTGCTCTGTACGAAACTCTTCAAAGATTCCTGGTTAGACGTCGATTTTTTTAAGAAACAACTTGAAGATCCCATAGCCTCCAATATAAACCATTTTTGCGATTATAGATTCAATAGCTAGTTAAATCATCCGTATATCCATCAGGGTCCATGGGCGAAAGGCGGAGTAGACCCTGGATGCATCGCCAGTCCATCGCAGATAGTTCATTTTAACATGTTCTCACATCAGCTCACATATACGGAAGAGGATTAGGGCCTCTGAAAAGAAAGTTAACTGATTTTAAAATTTTATTTCAGTGTAAAATGAGAAAAAAGTCAGAATTCCTACCTTTTTCCACTCAGAATTCTGACTTAAATCTCAGAATTCTGACATTTTCTCAGAATTCTGACATTTTTCTCAAAATTCTGGCTTTAATCTCAGAATTCTGACATTTTCTCAGAATTCTGACATTTTTCTCAAAATTCTGGCTTTAATCTCAGAATTCTGACTTAAATCTCATAATTTTGACTTTTTCTCAGAATTCGGACTTAAATCTCATAATTTTGACTTTTTTCTCAGAATTCTGACACATCTTTTTTTTCAGCGGCCCTAATCCTCTTTCGTACACATATGACTACAGTATTTGGACAACAGGTATGTTAATTTACAACTGAAACTTTATTGTAATTCTAAAAAAGTAGCTGTGACACCTCCACAAATCATGTTTTGGCTAAACATATGTTTGATTAACAAGGAAATTATAATTCTCAGTTGGTGCTCAAAGTAATGATCATCAAAGAGGACTTAACATCTGTCCATATTGACAAAAGTGCTTTAAGGACCTTGATGTCCCTGTGCTTTAAAGCCTATTTGCATTAATGTCTCGGCCAGAGGTCTGCAAACTCTAAAAATCCAAAGAACCTTTTTCAAATTTCAGTCCAGCTAATAAACCTCGTTTAGAGTGGCAAAACATTGCATGGTCTTTTTTTTTTTTGGGGGGGGGGGGATTCCTGGTTTAAAGAGTCTAAAGAGTGATTTGGCAGTGGTGGTTTTAGACCAAATTTACCAGGGGGACATGAACATTGTTTTTATGGGGACAACAAACTAAGAATGACACAAAAAAGAGGGCAAAAGTTTTTATTTTTATATTCAATGAAGAAAAGAGCCAAACTAACTTAAAAGAAAAAAAGAATCCAGCAGCCACTTTCTTTTTTATTTGTTTACATTGCAAAGCCAATGATGGCACTAACTTGAATGTAATTAATAACAGGTTTAAACCTAAACAGAAGCTCTCAGTGAAATTTAGAAATTGAGTATTTAAAGTAGAAAACAGAAAGCATGGTTCACAGTGTAAGGGTCGCTTATTTTACAGCAGCAGCATAAGATAACACCTTTTTTTACTGCACTGCAGTTAAAATAGAAAAGGACAGAAAAATTTTTAAACAAAAGGAAACTAACTTAAACCTTTAAAGTCAGATCGCATAAGCTTCACTGATCATCCTGTTTGAAGTTTCATTTTCTTTATGTATTCATGTAAAACAGTTTTATAAAACACTTACTAAAAAAGGACTAAAAAAAGACAAATGAAATTATCTATTTGTAACATTAAAAGACAGAGGATGGACAAAGTGAAAAGAATATAACCTTTAATACTTCAATTATCTAACAGCGGGAAGTGCCTCAGACGTCAACCCGAAGGAAAGAGTTAAACTCCGTGACGCATGATGTGGCGATTCAGTTCAGTGATGTTCATGAGGTTTCGTCCACAGAGCTCACAAGTGAACAGCTTCTCATGTAGAGGCTCAGCAGCTCCGTCCATGTCAAGCACACCTACAAAATAAAAGCAAAGCTTTTTACCAAAACAAATTAAAGGTATAGTGGCGGCTGTTCTTTTTCCGGGTGGATCATCAAAATAAGTGGTCCTCCTAACTGTCAATCATTCTGGTGATATGTTTACATAAGGCCGTCCTACGTGCTCGTCCCCATTTTCACTTAACAGTGGTGAGTCTGACATACATAGAAAAATTGCCAATCTTCTTTTGGAGTAAGCTTGCATGGGCGATGAAAACAGCAACTTTTAAACAGTGTACAAGAGGAGAAATGCTCTTGCACACATTTAATAGACTATATATATATATATATATATATATATATATATATACATATATATATTATATTATGTCTCGGTTCGATTCGTGTGTGTTTCGTTCGGTTCATGCGTTGCTCCTTTTTCTCATAGGCGAAGTGTTTACAGTCCAGAGCAGAAGGTGGCGGTACTGCGACCAAAGCCAACCACCAGTAGTAAATAAGAAGAAGAAGAAGCGAAGCAGCTTAGCCAGGTGTAGCAGGGAAAAAAGTCAGTTGTTGTGGAGAATTGTGTGGGTATGGCGAGTGGGAAAGAACAGGAGTTGGAAGACGCGCCAGCAGCACTTTATAGGTCTGCTGTATTGGACCGCTTTGCATTTAGAGTGACCTATGATGACGGCGGAAAGAAAGTTGTGGATAAAAGTGCAACAGTGTGCAAGCATTGTGCAACACGTTTTGTTTATGCTAACAGCAACATGTCATGCTCCAGACCGGCTGCTCAAAGCAAAGCCTACAGCCTCCACTGTGGCTCCCGTTCGCTCCCCTCTGAGTCCTTTGGAGATGGTAGAGAGCATGCGCCAGATGATTAAATTCAAAGCAGCAAAACATACGGAAATGATCCAGGGTTTCCGTGGATCATTTAAATAATTACAATCCATTATTTTTTGGGGGATTTTTTTCATTAATTTCATACATTTTTATGGGATTTTGGTGTAACAATCAACATATACCGAATCGAACCGAACCGAAAACCGTGACCACTAAACCATGAATCGAACCGTGGATTTTGTGAACCGTTCCACCCCTAATATATATATATATATACATACATACATACATGTAGGGCTGCAACTAACGATTATTTTAAAAATCGATGAATCGGACGATTATTATTTCGATTAATCGATGAATCGGACAAAAAATATTTTTTATATTAACCTCTTTATTCCAAAATAAACATTTTAGACAGAACAAACAAGCACACAAGTACAGGTTGCTCATTAACTGTACTGGTGCAATATGAAAAATAAATGTTTGTGTTAAAACTACGCAAACTTACATGAGAAATGTAGCTGTACATCCACAAAATATAGGGTACTTTGTTTCATAAAGTGCATAAAAAGACATTTTTGTTTTTAAAAGCCCCTAAGGGGTTCAAACAATAGGCCCCCCCATTCCAACAAATGAGTTTTTTTTAGACTAGAAGAGTTCTGCCTTTTAAGACAGGAAAGTATAGCAGTTAAAGTTGCTGCTTGAGAAAATACTGAACCATAGAGATAAAAATAGCCCTGTGATTCAAATTATAAATTGTATTTGGAATAAAAATGAGAGAACTAGGGGTGCTAAAAAACACATCCTCCAAAGACAGATATTTACATGGGAATGTGGCATATAATTAATTGACATATTTCTGATCTTGCTGGATTTTATTCTGTTTTACTTCCATAAATTGCAGGATCTTCTTTACTTTATCTTTGCCAGAAGATTTAAACTTTAAAAGCCTTGCCCTCATAATTTGCAAGTTAATTTATTTATAAAGTAAATACAAACGCTGCTTAAGCTAATTCAAATGAAATTAAAAGTAAAATAAGTAGCCAACCTTATCACTGTCTGTAACCTACTAACAAGGTAAGGAAAGCATCAGATGAGCTACCTGAGAAACTAACGTTACGTTTCCCCACTTTAAAACGAAACAAACAAACAAACAAACCGTGGTTCCGTGCCATGTTAATTTGTTTTGACAAAAGTTGCCTGTTACGACTTTTTTCACTGTACAAAGCGCAGGCTATTTTAATTATTGTGATCAATTTGCGCCGTCAATCCCGGCGCATGCGCTTCATTTGCAGTCTGGACGCTGAGGGTGAACATCCTCTGACTGCAGCGCTGAGAGGGACTCCTGCGGGAGCGGGAGAACGGGGTTGGGATGGGGGAGGCGCCCCACGGCAGAGTAGGAACGATACATGCTTTCACGTAAGAGTCTCCAAAAGCCGCCAGTGACACCGTAAAAAGTCGCCAGATTTGTCGCTAGTCGCTTTTTTGAAAAATAGTCGCTGGAGGGGTCTGAAAAGTCGCTGAGTTGGCAACACAGCACCTGCGGCGCTGCCTCGCTCTGCCGTATTTTTTTTTTCTTCCCCCGTTTCAGTTAAGTGGATGTGATGACGGCGGCGGCGGATGACGCATTAATCGCGCGACACAACTAATCGATGATGAAATTCGTTGCCAACGCTTTTAAAAGTCGACTTTTATCGATTTTATCGATTCGTTGTTGCAGCCCTACATACATGCATACCAGTACAGACCAAAAGTTTGGACACACCTTCGCATTCAAAGTGTTTTCTTTATTTTCATGATTGAAAATTGTAGATTCACACTGAGGGTATCAAAACTATAAATTCAAACATGTGGAATTATATACTTAACAAAAAAGTGTGAAACAACTGAAAATCTGTCTTATGTTCTAGGTTCATTAAAGTAGCCACCTTTTGCTTTGATTACACTCTTGGCATTATGTTGATGAGGTTCAGGGGGTAGTCACCTGGAATGGATTTCACTTCACAAGTGTCCCCTGTCAGCTTTAATAAAGTGATCTGTATAACTCAGCAAAATCTTTTGCCATCTTTATTGTCGACAGGCTGCAGCCATGTCCCGAATTCCTCGTTTTCCTGCCACTTTTGTTGAAATTTGCATTTTCCCCGTTGTCTAGCTTTTTCTCCTCCTCAAGCTTCTTTTCCGAACATACGGCTTTACGATCAACCGGAAGCAGTGCCGTGCAAATATCTCGCAATATAATATATATATAACAAAATTGTTTTTGTAAACTTTGTTTTTATTTTTAAATAAAGCATTTAAATGCCACGATAATCCCATTTAATGAATTATAATGCCAATTTATCCCTTAATTTAAAAACCTTTAATGATTTATAATGACCTGCGGAAAACCCCGTCTTTTCACACAAAGAAAGGATATGAACTGTTGATTTATATGACAGCGCCCAGCTCATGCTTTGAGTGCACAGGCTGAACACAGAGAAACTGCAGGAAGGTTTCTCTTTCAAGGTGCAGTTTAAATTTATAAAGAACATTTAAAAACAACAACTTTGGAAATGTCAATATGAAAAAAAAAACATTTTATGTTCATGATTTCTCCCGATTGTTGTTACCAAGACAATAAAAATAATTGAACGAGATGGCAAAGAACTAAATGCACAGCTTTCTGTACAGAAAAACACCTCCCAATGTTTGATATATTAAATCCCAATGGCGTCTCGTCTCCATTGGACTGGAGACCCTCAGTGTCCTTCCCCAGATTCTTAGAAACCACTCTAGCACAGGTGTGATATCCCTGGTTGTAGCATTGATGCAACATAAATTAGTTCACCACATTTTCTCCAATTAATCTGAGAAACAAAGATTTGCATGTGTTGCTAGATGATTGTAATAATAATCTTACCATCATGGGCTTGTGGAGTATCCAGAATCTTGCCCTCCTCCTCGTCCTCGTTGTTGAATTCGACGTCTTCTTCCAGCTTCAGCTCCAGATGGTCAGGCTCCTCTTCCTCCTCAAACTGCTCCAGATGGAGCTGATCCTCCTCCACACATTTCTTAAATATACTTTCTTCTCCATTTGGTTCAGTTTCATCCTTGGTTAGTTTTGGACTCTGTTTTTCTTCCTGTTTACGGCTTTCTAACAATCTGGTCCAGCTCTCCCTATGCCCCAACCTAAGTCGCTTACAGTTGGGTGGAAGTGTCAGCAAATGTGGCTCAAATCTGAAACCCTCTCGAAGCTTTGATTTGTTTTCCTGTCCAGGATTGGTCTGTGGTGCGGTTGGATTAGCGTCATTGTTGCCTTGATGTTTTAGGTTTGGAGCCAAAGAGATGCTGCCATCTTTAATTGACAATAGCTTATCGTTTTTCTCATTATCAACACAATTAGCCACAGTTTCTGGGCCAACTTTGAAGCTCTCCTCTGGATTTGGCTTCCCGTGTGATTTGCACTTGCTCCCATCTTCACCCAGTACCAGGACATTTCTCACCAGGTCGTCCCGTACAATTGCCTCAATGCTCTTTGCTGTAAAATGCTCCCCTTCGGCCTGGATAGCTCCCATGCTGAGAGACGTTGAACTCCCCTCTGCAGCCGCTTCTTTCTGACTCTCTGCCAGAGTGGTTTGGTTTGTACAAGTCTGTTCTTTCTCTGCTAAACTGTCACTGCCATGTTTGATTTCTGCATTATTTTGTTCCTCAGCATTTGAATCAGTGTTTCTTTCATAGTGTTCTTTTACAGAGTGATGCAAAGGTACATCTTGTCCTTGTGTTTGTAAATCCTGCTCATGTCTCTTCACCACAGTGGTGATTTGCTGAGTAACGTCCTGCGTAGAGTCTAATACAAAACTGTTTGCAGGTACTCTTTCCCCCTCATGCAGCTCTTGAGTCTCTTGTACGTCTTTTAGTCGAAGTATCTTTGTGGAGGAACATTCTGAGACGTTGTCAGTTTGTAAAGAATCCTGGTCAGCATTAATTTCTTCAGTTTCCAGCTCTCCATTGTCACACTTGTAGTCCTCATCATCCTCTGGACCAATGCCCATCTTTGCCTCCAGCTGATCCAGGCTCACTTGTCCCACAAGCTCATGGTTTCTCAAAACCTGCAAAAAAATAGAAAAAAAAAATGACTTATCTCCAGCATGGACAGAAAAACAGAGCATGGATAGACGAACAGATATGCACATAATCATAAGGATAGATCAAATTGGAAAGATGCCTCAGAGAGACAAACGAGAGAATAAAATGATTGGAAGAATTGACGAAAAGATGGACAGACCAGTGGATGGAAGGATGGAGAAAGGTATGGATGGTAACCTACGGACTAAGCCTGGAAATCAGGTAGGGTGTGTATTTTTCCCCCCATTCTGTTCTCTTTTTCTGGACTTACCCACATTTAGAAAATACTAGAATAAGATAATTTTCCTCAATGAATGCAAATTTTGTGCTACAAAGAAATTTAGACTAAGGCTGTGTTCAAATATGAATCCTGGTTACACCATTTTATAGGAATGTCTGAACGTCTAGTGGATAAAAAAGAAGTGGACACAAAATATCTCACAATGCACAGTGAAAAGTACTTTATGATGATGCTCACTAGACGTGCAGATATATCCCAGAGTGCTTTGCAAGCCCACTCATCGCAGAGCATCATGTGATTGGTTTACAGGGTGAGAGAGAACAAAGATGGTGCAGGCATCGTGCGAGGAGCAAACAGAGAGCAAAAAGTAGTGATCATCTGTCTGTACGGTCAATTAACTGAGTTCAAGTTTAAAGTCAACTATATAGTCCCGGCTGTAAAAAGTGACAGAGGGGTTAGGGCGCATAGTCGGACACAGCCTACTTTTCCAGAGTTGAAGGAACAATTCAAACTGAAATTAAAGGTATGGTGGATGATTTTCTTTTATCTGGGGAGATGATCTTATCTATTGATTCTCCCTCATGTTAATCTTAATGATGTGCTCATATCCTCATAATGCACATTAGTACTTCCAGTGAGCTCCAGTTATAGTGTTTCAAATTAACACTACTGCTCTCACCAATTATTTTGAAACTGGCTAAGAAGCAGCGAACACAAGAAGCAAAGTGTCTAACAGGTTTGTAAGAAAAAGAGGAAAATCTCAGAGGAAAGAAACAGAAAACCACAGTTGGGAAGTACAGAATGAATGATTTCAGTTTACTTTATCAGAACAGAAAGCAAGAAGAGATCCAGCAGTAATACATTTAAAGGAACAGAAGCAGTGAATCTGGATAAATGCAACATTTACAAACAGACTGGTTTTCAAGGCATTACTTAAATATTTACAGACAAAAAAACAGAATTTTTCCTTATTTTTTTAATCTATTTTTTTAAGTACAAATGCGAAAGTTCTGGATTTTTTGATGGAACTTTTAGGTAATTTTATTTCAGTAGAGAAGAAAATGTCTGATTATTAGGAGAGGAGTTGTTTCAGGAGCAGAGAGCATGTGAAACATATATATGGGAAATAAAGTCACAACTACTGAACTCTTTCAGAGCTTTTATAATAAATCTATTCTAATCGCACTTGGACAAAGATTCCTTAAAAGGCTGTATGTTTTTATTTGTTGTGGTTAAAACCGGTTTTATTCAAACTGACCTGAGCTTCAGTGACTGGACTAAAAGCTGTCCAACAGTAGCTTATTCTTCCAAAGTGAAAAGCTTGCTTACACCCACAGGAATGTCAGTGATGCCCAGTCTTTAGAAGCAATTACTCACCTGATGCTTATCGCTCAGGTGTGCCTCCAAGTCTGCGAGCCGAGGGCAGTCGAAGTAGCAGAGTCGACACTTGTAAGGTTTGACGTCATTGTGCCTCGTCATGTGTAAGCGCAGGCTTTCAGCACTGCCGCTGGTGAAAGTGCACTTGTGACAGCGGAAGATGAGGCCTTGTAGGTAGCGGGATAGTTTTGGGCGTCGCACCTCTATGGGCATGACACGCTCCTCTGAAATAATAAAATAAAAACAATCAAGCCAGGGGCTGAACACGGTGCGTCAGAGGGCGGAACACTGAATGTGCAGAGAGCTTGACCCACCTCGATGCAGGACGATGTGATCGATCATATTGTTCTTGTTTTTGGTCTGGTACAGGCAGAGCGGGCAGCGGAGGTCCTTCAGATGAGTCGGTTTGGACTGGCAGGTGGAATGGCCCGTTTCCAAGTGCATTTCCATGGTTTTTCTTTTAAAATGAGGCACATGAAAATTATTAAATGTAATTTACAGAAGTGAAATGTTACAGATACGATAATATTTCTAACAAGCTTGATCAGAGTCAAGATATTTCATATAACTAGGGCTGGACGATATAGCCTAAAAATAAAATCTCAAGATATTTTACATTTTAATTCAAATAACAATTTTTTCCCGATTTTCCCCCTTCTTATTAAAACTTCTTAACATCCACCATATCGCTGATGCTCTGATGTGCATATTTTCTTTCAAAACAGCTGTACGCTTGATAAATAACACCGGTTAAACTTTCAACCAATATAGAGATATAATATATATATACTTAGAAAACTTAGATTCTCCACAATTCAACCACCGAGTTCATTTTATGGACACAGTGGGCACAATGAACAAAGATATAACGGCGTATTAAATCAGAACTTCTAAAACAAAGCTCTGACTTCCTACCTTTGAAGCGATCCTGAGGCTGTATTATAAATACAATCTTATATCTTCTTAGATCTTTATATTTCGTATGTCCATAAGGGTCTACAGATAAAAAGTAATCCAGCATATTGGTAATAAAAACATTCCATGATGAGAAAATTGCCACATAAAGTCCGTTTTTTTACCATCAGAAAAGTCCCATCCTTATAGCTAATGCTAACCGTATTGCCATATACCCTAGCTTCCACAAACATGTCATGTTGATGTTTGGTATGTTTGTTTTCATCACCCTGCAGCCTAGGCTTCCAGTTGAGGTTTGTTGCTTTGTTCAGGGTTGTCCGTCCCGCAGAGAATGGCATTTTTCATATTGCGCGTGATGCCTCAGTTTAAGATGCTGAAAAAGGTTTGTGGTGCTACCACCTTTATCTGCAACTGCCTTTGGGCAAATGTTGCAGCGTGGGGTTTCTTCAACCACATCTGTCACAGTAAACCCAAACCAGTTCTAAGCAACGGATGATTTTATTCATTTTTTCAGAACTAACTTTAAACTCTCACCGGTAGCCATGATGTCGCCCGCCGATCTGCACCAAGCGAGTAATACTACAGCTACAACGCATCTGGGGAGCGGCATTATACAAAAAATAAAATCTATTTGTTGTTTTTTCTTTACATCGCCCTCAACAAAACATTCAAATTAAATCAGTGAATAAATTTTTTTTTGTCCAGGCCTACATATAACCAATGGAGACGCCTTATATTGTGGCACCTTACCTCATACCAGTGAAGAAGTCGCAGTCTTTGCACCTGAGGATTTTCTTTCCGTGCCGGTTGGAGTAATGGCGCCGGATGCTTGAAAGGTGAGCAGTGTTGAAGTTGCACATCTCGCACTGAAGAAGACTGTCGGACAAACCGACTTCATGCAAATTCATGTTGACTCTGTCCACATTATGCGCCATCAAGCTGTAGTGGGTCAACTGCCGCTGCACGTCTGGGGGCTCCGAGTACATTTCTGTGGATTCTGTCAGATTACGGCATTTCGCTTAGCACATCACATTCCCCCTAAATACAGCGTGTTATGTTTAAAGATGAGGTGAACAACCTACCTTCAACATCCTCTGGTTCTTCATTGACTTCCGGGAAGCTGTTGATTTTCTCAGATGAACCTAGAACCTCCTTGCCTGGACTTTCAGAGCTCTTCTCCTCTTTATCGTTGCTCTTCATGATTTCTTTCTCAATAATGTCTGAGAAAGTCGCCACAGGAAATGGAAAATGGAAAGGTTGGATATTACAATTGAGCTGCAGTATATGAGCCAACTGCATGGTCATCAGCAGCAGTATCACAGGAGCAGTTCCTGGTACAGTTTTTGGTTTAAAGTAGCTTCCATTTACACTTCGTCTGCTGGGAATAGTTTCAGCCCATTAGATTAGCAACAAATATCCATAAGAGCAACACTATAGCTCATCATTATGATGGAAAGAAACACTAGAGAGCACAACGTGCAACACAGCTTCTATTGAACAATATCTCAATTATGTGTCTTTAAGATCGTTGCAGCCAAACATTAAATCTATCCTAAAAATTCTTCAATCACTTTCTGCTATTTAGAGAAATCTGATCAGGAAGAGCAACACATAGTCGGTTGAAAACAAAATATTACTCTATAATCTGTTAATATTTGCCCAACAAAAGCTCAGCAGCTGACTTTAAAATTATACATTTAATTTAGCAACTCATGTTTATCTTTACCAAATATCAGCAGAAAAACAAATCGCTGATTAATTTCAAATTAAAGATAAAATGTATTAATTCCGAAAGGGAAAGAAATTTCCCTTTTTCAATTTCAAGACTGTTTTATTGAAAAAAGGGCAACAAATATTTCCATTACTCGACAGTTAAAGAGAGAAAAATCTTCTTCTAATGGCTCAACACATGCACAGCCGTTTAGTCCCTTCCTATCTTGATTTTATGGAAGGTAAGCTTTATTTCTACAACAGTTTGAATGTTTCTTGAAATTTGACCATAAATGTAAGAAATAAATACTAAAATCTTTTGCTATACTTAACTTCCCAAACTTTCTGTTATACTCCCCTCCCTCCAGCAGCGGCGCCGATACCCGTTTGGACCAATAGACTTTTGAAAACTGACTGAAACTGACTATCTGCCGATAGATTCTATTTTATTATCAGTTTACTACGGTAAGTTGTTTTGTGCATCAATGCACCTGCCAGGTTTTTCCTGCTCTTTAAGTGTTTTCCTACATGTATGCTGTGATATGTGTCTATACTAATTTCTTTACTAGTGTTTTTTGGTCTTTGCTATACAGTATAATTTCACATTTTTGATCTTAAGATATTTTTTTAATTGTCTTGACGCTTTTATTACCTTTTTTTCTTTGCAAACAAACCTGAGTTTTTCTACTGTGGGTCAATGAAGGACATTTCTACTGTATTCTCTATACTGGATGTTATATAAAAGTTTTTCCGTACAGTAGATTAGGGTTAGGGCTGCAACTAACGATTATTTTGCAAATAGATTAATCTGTCGATTATCTTTTCGATTAATTAATTAATAATCAGTTAACAAAAGGTTCCTTGAAAAAGACTTTTTTACAAAATTAAAGCAGGTTAAACTAAAACGATTTCACTTCAGGAGTTCTGCAAAGAGCAGATTGACAGACGAAAAAGGTTTTTTATCTTAAATGCAAAATGTTTATTTATTCTTTTTCAATTTTGGTATAATTGCTGCTCAAGGGTTGGTTGATCTGTCACCTAAAGGTATATTTTACAGTCTCTATACTCCAGTTAAGAATTTATTGATTACTAAATTAGTTGACAATTATTTCAATAATTGATTTTACACAATAAATTTGATTAATTGTATCAGCCCTAATTATGAGCAGAACATAGAAAAATTATATGATTGGACTCAGATGCATGAAATGTCAGCGGTACAAAATATTAAATGGTTGAGATGACAATATTTAATCCCAATTATGGCCAGTTATCACTTCAAATGTAAAGAATTGATTCAGAATCAGTTCTTTTCAAACTGGATTGCAGGTATTGAAAACATGTTTTTTTTTTTAGCCGTTACCAGAATTACATGAATGTGAAGTTGTCACATACTGCTATTAATATTATGGCAATATATAACAGCAAATGAATAACGTAATGGTAGGAAAACGCAACTGTGAGGAGAGGAAATGCATTTCTTTTTAAATTAATCTCTGGTTATATGGAACAATCTTTAGGAATTTAGATGAGAAAAGATCTGGAACTGGAAGATGTATTTCTTAAAACATAATCTTACTTCTAATACCAAGGGAAAAACAATAGTAACCAGGAAGTCCCCATAGATCCCATTTACTGCATCAACTGTAGGTATTTTTGTTTAAATCCGCAAAAACCTAAAATGTTTCATTTTATTAAGCTGCTGTATGTCTTTTAAAGACTGTGTGTCAAAAAACTGGCGATGAGAAATGCCAGTTCAGCTGAAGTTCAACAAATTGTTTACAGAAGCAAATGCAACTGATGGTGGGAATATTTGAACCAACAGCTCTCTTACTTTGATGATTTTTCAGAAAGTGACTTTGCCAAAGACCCAGGAAACTCGTCCGATAACGACAGCAGAGACACCGGAAACGCTTAACGGTCCCCGGTTTGTGGAAGAGGTATTTTTTCATGCTGGTGAAAGTAAAAAAAACACACACACACAAAAAAAAACAAAATGGTAAATTTCTAAGAAAATGCATCATTTATGTTCATACCATTACTTCAGTGAAATTGCATATGAACTGAGAGAGTTGTTCTTACTTGAGTTGAAACTCTGCGTTCGCCATGTTGTCCAGCTTCTTGATAGCTCCCATGGCGGCATGGCTTTGCTCGTGTGATCGCAGACCTTTCAACGACATGAAAGTCTTCTGGCAAAGTTTGCAGGCGTATCTGTCTTCTTGTGTTTTAGCTTCGAGATCAGTGTCGGGTTTTGAAGGTGACGGTTGAGGACTGGAAGGAAGAGCAGTGTCCATTTGTTGGCTGTCTTCTTTGACAGTCGGTTGTTCATTTTGTTGAGAGGCCTGCGAGATAAAACCATGAAAATCAAACCATATTTAAATCTGCAGGTGGTGCAAAACGATCAAGAGCACTGCTGGCTTACTGACCTCAGGAGATGTGGAAGCTGCCGTTGAACCTTCTAGAGCAATGCTTTTATTTGAGGGCTTGGCCTTCATCTGGTCTCGGTGGCGATCCAGATGTCTGCAGAGGTTTCTAATTCCATGTAACCGCATTTTACAGAACTTGCAGCGGTACAGCCCTGTGCTTCCCTTTCTTGCTCCCAAAGATAACACTGTAAAGTCAGTCTTGGCAGATAGGTGATGAAAACTATTGTAATGATCAATCAGAGACTGAGACGAGTCGAATGCCAAGTCTGGACACTCCTTACACTTCGTATGGAACCGTGTCTTTAATGTAAAATATTTCAGGAGGAAGTTGTTCTTCCGTTTGTTGTATCTCTCCAACAGCTTGTAGGTATTTAGAGCATCCAGTTTATGAGAACTTTTGTAGTGAGCCTGAAGGTTTTTGCGTGAAAACGCTGAGTAAGTACACAGCTGGCACTGGTAAAATAAGTCTTTCTTATACAACGCGTTTCTCTTGGGCTTGGCTTTTGATCCAGCGACTTGAGAATTGACCTCGTCAGAGACATTTGGTTTTCCCTTCTCTTTCTGAAGGTGAACAGAGTCCTGCAGCGTTGCTTTTAAGGGATCGGCTGCATCGTCTGCGACCTGAGAGCTGTCGCCAACTTCTTTGTGCTCATCAGATTCAGAGAGAAGCTCAGAAACCGCTGCTTCCCCATGCTGCTTTTGACAGTGGATTTTTAGCTTTTTGATGGATGGGTGAATTTCTGGACATCTTTTACATAGATACCCTCTTTCATAAGACTCTTTCCCTTTTGAGCAACCAACGATGTTAGAAACAAATATTTCACCCGTTTCCAGCGTATCTGCTCTGATAAATATGCTTGGGTGTTTCATCTGGCTGTGAGTGAGAGTCCCATGGTAAGAGGTGTTCACATAGGGACAGCTGGGACACCTGTAGATAAACCGGCTGTCCTTCGATTTGTTTTCCTGTTCAGATGATGGATCTTGCTTCTTTGCACCCGGCTTGTAAACTGGAACAAAGCACTTCAGATACGCAGTCCTTCCATGTGTCCTCAAATAATGCTTTGCAAGCCGCTTCTTATAAGTATAGAGCTGTGGGCACAACTCGCATTTATATACGCAGCTGTTGTGAGCATCATCCTTGTGCTGCTCATGCATGTGTTTACTCAGTCTAATGTTTGTGCTGCAGACATAAGGACACTGTTGGCACCTAAGCCTGACATAGACCTTCTTCGTAAGGAGAGAAGCCTTGGAGCAAGTGGGATTTCTGTGGGGCTTAGCTAGTTTTATTCTTAGGCCCAATGATGGTTTAGGAGCCTCATTGTGTTCCTGTTCACGGTGCCTCTTCAGTTTATCCAGCGTTGCACAGATTTTTGAGCAGGTTTTACAAACGTACCCGCTAAATTTTAAAGTCTCACCAGTATTTACTCTTTTCCTGTAGTCTTCCAAATCCTGCAAATGCGCTGGATCCAACTGAAGACTGTCAGCCCTGGAGGTGGAGGTAGGATGCGTCATGTGGCAGTGACTGAGAATCCCCTGATAACTGGTGTTAATATAGGTGCAGTATGGACACTTGTAGACATGCACCCGCCCCTCAATTTGTTTGGGTTGTTTGTCTGCTTCGTCTGTGTTTTTAAGCTTGAGGTGCTTAATACCACTGTGAACCCTAAGACCGTGCTTTCGGTCAAACGTCGCAGGGCACAAAGGGCACTTGAACACACTGGAAGGTAAAGTTTCTTGAACAACATCTTCAAGAGGGACTTGGAAAGATTCAAACAACCCCGGCATTTCATTGAGATCCTCCAACTGGCTCATTGCACTTGTTTTTTTGTCACTTGGACGGTCTAAGGGGTCGTTTTTATCACTCGAAGAATGAAACTTGTTGCAATGGCTTGCAAGAGAGATCTTTGAGTTACTTTTAAAAGAACATTTTGTACAGGAATGAATCTCCTTGTTTTTTTCTGAAATCTCCTGGTCCGATTCTAAACCTGTTCTGCCTTGTGAAGGTGATTCGTCTGGACTAACATATAACCGGGCCTTTAAAGCCTCAAGGCTCATCTGCTTGCAGCCTGGATGTCGTTCCTGGTAGTGCTTATGAACTGCCTCCGCTTCTTTGTGACTGAAAACACACCACTCGCAATGATAGCCAGGTTCTAACGCCCCCTTACGGTAGCAGAGCCTTAGAGTTCCTGCGACCGAGAGTTTGGAACGGTGGATTTTCCGCATGTGTGACATCAAAAGGAACACGTACTGAGTGGTAAAAGAGCAGTATTTACAAGGAAGCTTCCTTAGCTTTTCAAGCTTTAATTCTACAGGTGGAGCTGAGTCCACTAAAGTTTTCAAAGACTTGTCTCTGTTTTCGTTTTTGCTCTCAGGTTTCTCTGGGAGCTCCTGGTTTTTAGCTGATTTAAGAGGAGATTTCTGCAGCTTATTGAGAACCTTTGCTGTGTACAGACGGATGTCAGCAATTTTATTAGAAACTTTGTGGTGTACTCTGGAGTAATGGTCTACTACTACAGCTATCTGTCTGTTTCTATAGTTGCAAATAGGGCAGAAAAATGCCTCTTTGTCATCTTTATTTAGAATTGGAAGAGGTAATTGTGCACCAGGGCTCGTTCCCTCCGACTTTGATTTTTTAATCTTCTCACGCATCAAGGCTGTATATTCAAGAACACGACTGTGACTGGAATATGGGTACCTGTGGTTCCTGTATTGATGAGCGATCACCCCCTGTGTAGATGGATTTCCAAAATTGCACAGATGGCAGTAAAATAATTTTTCTGCATTCATATAGGGGTCGCTTTTTTTAGTGACATTTTTTTTGAGCTTAGCTTCGTTTTTCCCTCTTTTCTTTGTGCGATTATCTGTGTTCTGAATGGTTTCCCTTTCAAGCTCACCATTTATCACCTTGGCACTATACTGTATGATGTCTGCTTTAGATAAGAGGACATGATTAGAGTGTTTTGCATTATGATGACCGATGACACTTCTAATATAGGGATTTGAGTAATCGCAAAACTGACAGTAGTGCATTTCCAGGGGTGAACAGTAAACATATCCTTCGGCTTTAGACTTGGTTGCTTCAATGTTGGGTTTAGAAGGTGACATATTTGCTTTGCTTTCATTTTTTGCCGACTTTAGACATTTAGGTGTGGAAAAGTCGAAAGATTTTTTGGAATCTTCTGATGATTCCTCCAGTAAGGTCACCTTGCTAACATTTTGCAGAGCTGGCTCAGGTTTGTACTTTGCTTTCTGTGAAGAAACCTTTTCATCCACTTCCAAATCCTCTGATCTGTTGGTTGTTTTTATTATGGGTTTAGGACGTGACACCTCTATTTTGAGGTCTTCCTCAAGAGCTCTAACATGCTTGATTTTCAAAAGTTCTACGGGGGTTTTGGAAACCTCTGGTATGGTTTGGAGTACAGATTCTAAAGCGTTTACCTCTGGATGGACCTCGGCTGTTTCTTTCAGTGAAGTCTCCCTTTCAGGCGTTCTCTGCATTGTTTCCTTAGATAACTGCTTGATTTCATCGATTGTAACAGCTTGCTCTGGGTGTTTTTTCTGGTAATGAACTTGCATGACGACAGTCGACTTATGTGCAAATTCGCATTTGCTGCATTTATACGGGGTCGCATCCGATACTGTGGAGGAGGGAGGCTGACATGAAGGTGTAATTTCCACCTCTTTACATGGTGTTCCCATCTTCTTGGGGGAAAGCGTGGCTGATCTTTCCGGACTGGATGTTTCTTCACACCTTTCCTGCTGAGATGGACCCTGACATTCACTCACTAAATATTGACAGAATAACAAAGAATTATCCACCTCACAAGTTGGATGTTTTTCCTTGTAGTGTTTCATCAGGACCCTCATCTCTTTGCAGGTGAATGTACACGTAAAACATTTAAACACCAGGCTGAGCTCATTCAGTTTAATCTTGAACACATCTGGAGCCTCCGGATGTTTTTCTGTGTAGTGCCACTTGAGGTCAACGGTGCTGAGAAACTCTACAGGGCACTCAAGGCAGCGGAAGGTCGCGCTCTGATCAGCCGAACACTTAATGTAGCTAGCATTACATCTGACATAAGGGTGATCGCTCTGATAGTGAGAGGACACCAGGCTGAAGCTCCTGTTGCTGTAGTCACAATGCTTACAGAAATAAAGGTCTGGACGTGCTGGGTCTCTGCTAACAAGCTCAGCCTTCTTTTCCTCATCATCGTCGCTGACTTCAAATGAAAAGTCTACATTGGCTGCAAGTTTTCCACTTGTATCTTCATTCTCTTCGACTGAGTCTTGTGTCAACTTGGCTTTTTTTATTTTAGGACCTTTCAAACTGTCATTGTTGGTTTTCCTGTTAATCTCGTTAATAGCTAAATTTGTTTGTTCCTCCAGAGAACCGGATCCCACTACCTTAGCCTGATAAAGATGCTCATATCGCAACAAATGGCCTGGCTTTTTGCTGTCTAAATCGATATCAGATAGTTTGGTGGCTTTACTTTTCCAGTGGAGGCTAGCATCGGGAGTAGTATCCACTAAAATTGCATCACTGTCTAATTTGAGGTTGTCATTCCTCCTAGATGATTTTGAAAAATACTTGGTGATAGTTTGTGATGGACGCTTGTATGTCCTAAGATCCTTTGATCCAAGAATATCTTCAGCTTCATCGTTTTGGTCTCCTAAACTGTCCGGCGTGTCTCGATCAGGGCTGTCCGGAATGATCACAGTTTCCGTCAAGTTGGGGCTTTCAGGTTTTGGACACTGCGTTTCATGCTTTGTCCAAACATCACGAATGCATGTCTTAAAATCACAGTTCCTACATGTAAAACTCTTTCTCACACCTTTGCTGTTCTCTGCGTGGGCTTTTTTACTCTCAGCATATCTCAAACCAGCCTCTCTGAGGGAAGCATCTATGTCCAAGTGATGTACCTTGTTGAGATGCTCGAAGAGGTACACCTTGGATTTGAAGATTAAGGTACATTTAGTGCATTTTAAAGACCTTGCCAGGGACTCTTGTGGAGCAGCATCATCCTGGTGTCCAGAGCTGGAAATCTGCACTAAATCTAAAATGTATAAAGGGAGAAAAAAAAATGTGACACCCACATTATGCATTGTAAAATGTTTATAAAAAGAAATATGGACTGTAATAACATTACATACCACTTTGCATCTTGCATTCCTCCTTCAGTTGCTTCCTTTAGATAACACCAACAGTGGTACACCTGGAGGATTAGTAGGAGGGATTGTTACCATTAATAAAGGCTGCATTTCCTTCTTTTTATAAACGAATTTGTATTTTTGGTTTGATATTCCTTTTTCTAGAATACATAACATAAAAGTAAAAAAAAAAAACGAACAAAAAAAAAACAAAAACATTTTCTTACATGAGTTTCAGAAAATCAACTGATAAACCAATCTCCGAATTAAAACTTTTCTGCGTTGTACGTTTAGCAAAAATGAATCGTTAAGTATCAGAACCCCAACAAAATCTCTTAAAGAACAGTTAGTACGTCAGATTTAACAGTAAAGTGAGACGCAGTGCTCATGTCATATACTCACGTTTGTGGGTACAGATGATACAATGACTAGGAATCAATGTTTTGAAGCGAGGCTGCTAAAAACACACCAACACGTTTCCGCCATTTTTCCCGCTAGTGAATCTGGCCTTCCTCCTCCTCCCTTCTCCTCCCCCTTCTCCTCAGCGTCTTCGCTCTTCTTCTTCTTCTGTTTTTATCGGTGGATGGCAACTAACTTAAGGTGCATTTACCGCCACCTACCAGACTGGAGTGTGTTCAGCAATGATGTCAGAGGCAAGTTATTAATATATAAGTCAATGGTATACATGAATCTATATAATCTAGATTCATGTATAGA